GGTTTTTCTTTGGGACACCCGGTACCAGCCTAATAATTAATATGGAATGTGAAAATTCTTGCATTAAAAACTCAAGGTTTAAATAAAGTATTACATATTCGAGGAATTTGTAATACATATACTTTTCCACATGCTCTTGCCTTGGTGTATGACTATTTAGTATATTTCATTTTAACATTTTTGATACGTTACTCAAACTGCAAACAAATTTACATAGTATGCTTAGTGCTTTATCTGTAAAATTATGCTAAAATATAAAGATTTTAGATGGTACACCAAAGAGAAAATGATGTCTGAAGTTCAGTAAGTCTTGCTTATATTGCTGTATAAATATGGCGTCAATTTTACAGCATGCATCGATGATAATTTTGTTTAAAGTTAAACTGACAATATTTAACTATTATTTTGTGTTTCTCAACCGCCAGATACTGCATTTAAAAGGTTGCTAACTGTGTAAACTACAAAACAGGGCCAAAACAAAATAATTTTGAGAGGAACGCCAAAAAGATATTAGGTTTTGAACACTCATCGCAAATACACGCGACATTGAATGTAAATTCCTGGAAAATATTTGAATTGCAAATCTGTCATCCTAACAAATTTCAAGTATCATCATCACAGCATGCAGGAAATAAATTCCAGACCTTTCAATCAAGGGCTTCCCAGGAAAGGAATTTTGTTTTTTAAATTCAAGGACTTTCTAACATTTTGAAGGACCTTGTCGTGCGAACATTTTTTCTGGAAGCATATATAATTCTAATTCCTTGTGTGGGGGGTTAAATAGATGATTCCGCCAAAAGACTAATAAAGCCCCGTTTACACGACCAATTTTTATGTGACAATTTTTCATGTTTTTATGTGAGAAATGTATTGTATTTGGTCGTGCAGATGAGACAACAAATAATTGTTGATTCCTGTTTAAAAAATATCTATGAACAACGGTATCTCGCGCAATAAAACATTGCTCGGACACTAATTATACTTTTACAAATATGGCGGGAGAAAAAATATGACATTTTATGTGACGAGTAATCTACACGAGCAATTTTTCGTATGTGACAACTTTTATTTGTCACATAAAAGCTAACGCGCTAGCTTTTCAGCAACTGTATTTGCCACACAAAAATTGCCCAATTTTCCGGCCTCGTCTACACGAGCAAATAAAAATTGTCACATCAAAATTGCTCGTGTAAACGGGGCTTAAATTTTGATCTAGGCAAGAAGAACAAAATCCATCACCACAGCCGTAGAAAGAGCATGTTAAAATTAGTAAATTGCAAAGTTTGGCCGCGACATGTTGTAAAATGCGGAAAATATAGCCCCACGAAATTTGCAATTCGAAATTTGTGTATTAATTTGTATTACGCAAGGGTAAAGCATGCATGCACCCGCGTAATACAAAATTTGCAAATTTCGTAGGGCTATATTTTCCTCATTTCACAACATTTCGCAACGAAACTTTGCAATTTTACTAAATGTAACATGCTCTTTCTAGCTGTGGTGATGGATTTTGTTCTTCTTGCCCAGATCAAAATTTAGTCTATAGTATAGCTGGAATCGTCTATTGACGTGTTTCATTGGCATTGTTATAATTTTGTCACCAATTCCAATCCCTGTTCCTATGGCTTCGTCATGAACACAACATTTCAGCGAATTGTACGTTCGCTGCATAAATCAACACCTAATAAATCAACACCTAAGTTGCATTGTGCCGCAATGCATCCTATTATTTATATACTCTGACCAAAACGCCGGACGATGTAACCTGTCAAGGGCAAAGCGCTGGTACTCATTGGGATAATCTGATTATCTTCCCATGTGTCTAGTTAATCCATTAAGTTGCATTGCACCGTTGATTAAAAAAATATTTCGCCATTTTACGTGCTTGCCCTCAATAGATGGTGTTAGGTTGGTCCTACAGTAGGTAGACTACCAAACAGGTTGGTTCCAAGTCAGTCCACCAAACAATCTGACAATGTCAATGTGCCTGCTTCATTATTTTACTGTCTAAGAACATACGATTTTACTCATCAAGGGAAAAGTGCTGCTGCTCAGTGCGTTAAATTTTGATAATCTCAGTGGTGTAACTAACTAAATATATTTTTACCACTTGCCATTAGGGCAATTTATACACGAAAATTAGTCAGCCGGAATAAAATTCACTTGCCATCAGGGGCCGGTTGTATAAAAAAGTGATTAAAGTTAATCATAGTTAAGTGGAAACGTCATCCAATAAGAAGCGCGTATTTGAGAGCTGATCACTATTTAACTACAAAATAGTGATTAAAAAAGTGATTAAGAGTTTTATACAACCGGCCCCAGGTCTAGTTTTGCTCTCACATATTAAAAAAAATTGAAGCAAATGATTGCAGAAAGGATTGATTAATCAATATTCTAAACTTATGAACATTGTCCTTAATTAACAAAGTCATCGAAGACTTAATCATCAAGTGTTGATTTTAGCCGATTTACTAAATGAAGAATCAAAAACAGAATGCAAACATAAACAAGCAAACAGTTTTTTAAAACAACTTGCCCAACCAAGAAGCAACTTCAACTTGCCCGTAATAATTACCGGTATTGGCCACGGCAAGTGAGCAAGTGCTAAGTTTCATCACTGTAATCTGCTTCACAAGGTAGGAATGAAACTGAGCAAATTCAAGCACAGTTTAGGCTGGGATGGTTTAAAAAAAACTGAAACAAAAATCTGACGATAGATACATTTTATTACATCATTATTTTTTTCTGTAAGACACAAAAAATGGTGGTCTACAAAAAATAATACCAAGCAATAAATCAATCAATCCAGATCAGCACTTAATTGTGCTGCAAACTACTGTCGGACATCGGCGGAAAAACCTGAATCCATCGACGAAGAAGTAAATACTCGTATGCTGCGTAGATGATGCGTAGGCTTGCCACAAACATGGTACGAAATGTTCATGCAAAGTGTTAAAAATTTTTTTTTGCATGGACCTCGCTCCTTCGTCACTCGGTCCATACTAAAAAACCTCGGTCTGATATTTCACAGTACAGACCTCACACTCGGTCAATAGGCCGTTAATATTGACATTATCATAATATTTTCACTTGACATGGTCATAATTTTCAACATGAGCAACAATATATTGCAATTATTGTTATGCTCAATGACTATTGTGATATTGTTTGGCATGAGTACATCGTTTTCACAAAATTCCAAAAGCAGTTCTTTTAATTTCTCAAACATATAAATGTTGCCACTTTGTCACTATCACAGTGGACAGCTAAGGTTTATGAAATGACTACATAAAACAGACTTTTTACTGGTTCTAGTTGGATATTTACTCCAATTTGTTCTTTATAATAAGATATACAGTACACTGATATATCCAATTAGTTAAGTGCCTAAGTAGTTTAATTAAAGCCACCATTTTGGGGGTACTTACGTCTGCCTCGTAAAAGATTCTAGATAATTCAAACAATGTGCAAAGCGACTTTTAAAAGTTGTGAATGTAAATTTACCATTATACAAACAACTACAATACTAAAAAGTTGTATTTCGTGGTGCAGAGACTCTCAAACATGGGAGAGGTAGCACCCCCAAAATGGCGAAAAAATTGGCTGTGACAAAGGCTAATTGTTAAGTTAAACCATTAAGCTGCAGAGCTTACCCATTGATGAGTAAAATCGTCTGGCATTAAACAAGTAAAAAAGAATAAGTAGGACATGCTGGGGTGCATTGCGGCTCAATGGGATAACTAGAGGCATTGTCAGATTTTTTGGTTAAAACCCATTAAGCTGCAGAGCTTCCCCATTGACAAATAAAACCGTCTAGCGTTAGACAAATAAGAAAAAATATGCAGGGCACACTGGGGCACATTGCGGCTCAATGGGTTAATGGTTAATATGTTTTTTTCTGCATATTATCTAAAATTGAAACTGTGGCCATTGGTTTTATTGCATTTATCAAGATATTATTGAATATTGTGATAATTTCCTAGACGATAATCATGATACAATGTTTTAAATAGTCCTAGTCAATTTAAGCTTTAATTTAATTTTAGCTTTAAATTTTAAGCTCCCATATTCCTCAAGGTTTACACTTTAGGACTAACTGCTTTAGGTGGGTTCTACATTTGGTAGAGTCGCTCCCATTAGTTCATTTTCATAATCAACGAATCATTACTATCAACAATTTATTATCATTGAAATATAGTATTGAATAAATCTTACTTGCCAGACTAGCTACGAAAAATAGTACTGACTAAATCTAGGCAGACTACAAAATAGTGGATCGCACTTTGCAAACTTCGAAGTATTTCTTAGATTTTGCATTTTGAAAATTTTGCATTTCATTTGAAAATGGAAAAATGCAAAGCAAGTTGTAAAAATTCTATAACATGCCTTTCTACCAATGTGGAAAGTTTGTACAAGTAAAATTGTCTGGCATAAGACAGAATAAAATAATCTAATGTTAGACAGAGTAAAATAATAAAGCACGGTGCATTGTGGCACAAGGCAAGTATGCATCTTAATTAAAATGCAGTGACCATTTCAGAACGCTTATCATAAAGCACCAATATTTTCTCTTTCAATTAGGAGCTGATGAAAAGTGAATATATAAATGTCAATTTGGTAGTTATGTACGTTCAATATGCATGAGAGCTCATGCTATAATTTCTTCCCAATTGAAACTTTGCAAATTACAGGAGGAGTTTTTCATCCCATAATAATGAAATGCACAAGATGGTCTTCTGAGAAATATATTTAATAACTTTTATATATATATATTATATATATGTTTTGTTTTTATTTGATCTACTGTTTTACTGGTGTTGAGCACTCTAGTTCACTATGCACAAATTCAATACTGAATATATATATATATATATATATATATATATATATATATATATATATATATATATATATATATATATATATATATATATATATATATATATATATATATATATATATATATAAATAAAAATATGCAAAGTACGTGAATAGTTTAAGTCAGGTGCTTTTTTAGGAATTCCAAATCGATTTAATTCAGCCGACATCGTAGAGACACCTAAATTAACATTCAATTGTGCAATATTGCATAGGTGTCTTTGTAATAAAGTACTGTAATTTAACAAAACCACATAACTTACGTAAGTTGGAGCTTTCTGCGGCGTTAGAGCTGATTTCCACGAGGCTAAAATAGGAGAGAAAACACGTTTGTTTGTTGTCATATTTTTGCCCCATCAAGCTGCACGTATATTTTATGTAAATAATTATAAACCTGTCTTGTTTTTTAAGGCTAGGCAAAACATCCCAAAGCAGTCAAAATATTGCTGCAGCATGCTAGTTTTCAAAGGGAAGGCGCTCTTGAAACAAATCTAAAGATCTTTTACCAAGACTTAGCTGTGTTTCTCACGAATTAGCGGCATCCCAGGGGTGAAATTGAGCTGTCGCTGATCATAAAATGAAACAAAAACGTCTCCTCCTACACGGGGCGCCTTGCATTGAGATTAACAAACATTTCAGCGGAGAACAACCCGAAACCTATCGCTTTTTGTCGATAGTCAAACCTAGGTCACAGTTTATAGTATACTTTAGCGTATACAAGCATCAGAATGTCGAAAATGAAGGTCATTCCTGGCAAAACATTGGAATAATTCGTGAGTGATAATTCATGGTAGAAATGTAGTCAACCAAAAAATTCCAAAAAACTTTCATCTTCAATTTACAATTCAAAGTCACGCTAAGGTTTGAATGACATTATGTAACAAACACGTCACTTTAGTATTTATCTATAAAATTGTGAATATTGCCAGAAAATCGCTATCCAGAGCTATAAATTATCGAAGGTCGGAAAAGCCGTCAAGAAATTTAATAATAAGCCTCTCATCGCCACAAAACGCCGTTCAATTTCCTGTGATTGTAAAAGACTTTTTCGATGTTACATTCGCCCAGTTACAAGCCCACCAGAAAGCGGCCAGTTTATCGCTGGCCGATCTTTAAGTGTAGCAAGTAAAAATACAAAGTAGAATACCCAATACCTTGAAATTTAGCCATGTTTCGAGTCGTCGATTCGACTGTTTATGGTCGTCAAATTGATATTATAATACGATGATTTTGCCACAAATTTCGACAAAAAAGTACAACTAAGCCCTCCAAGTCATCCATAAACACCACCAGTTACAAAATCATCTTTAAATAGTCTAAAAATTCCTTTCTGAAACCATTTTCGAATGCATTTTTCCAATGTATAATAACATCATCAAATATCCCCCTTCGATTGCCTTTGACCACCGGCAAGGCTTCGGCTCTGCTCGGTTTTAAATCGGAATATGTCGTGGGCACGTCGTCGGATTTTTAAATTCGCACGTGAGCATAGCTAGCGCAATTTATTCAGTTGAGTCAGGGCGCTTGGTTGAGTGTTAATTACAGTAAAATGCCCTGGTTTCTGCCAGTGAAGTTATATATTTCTTTTAATTAATTTCATGTGTAAATTATTCCTGAATTTTTAAAGGCCTTAGTTCGGATTATATAGAGAATAAGCAATATTTATGGGAAACGTGACTGTGAGATAGTAAACAAAATTGAAGAACTAAAATGCCGAGTGGTAGACCTAATCGAATTGACCTAATAACGGGGGATGAGACGGAATAATGTTGGAGCTTAAAAATCCCACAGTCACGTCACATCTTGAAAGTATTCCTCATTCCATTGAACTAATGAACAGTATGATTTCGCCAACATTACGTGAAAGAATTCACGAAAATTCCACCAGACCACCACTCCCCCAATACTATAAATATCCATATAGATGCGAAGGTGAGCCAAAAGGTTAAACTAATATGTGGCAAATATAGATTTAATCCAGATGATAGGAAGTTGTGTCAATTATACTGATCGTACTAAAGCATGATGCATCAATTCATGATTATGAACATGTTCATTTTCTTGGGAAGAGTTTTCAATTTTTCGTAAATTTTTCTCAAGGTTAATATATCAAGCGGTTTTTGAAGTGTTCCTAAAGTCGGTTTTTCATTAGGCCACAGATTAAGAATATACTTTCTTAATCTGTGATTAGGCGGAATTTTGCGAGCGGAGCGGGAATTTTTCTTTTCCTTTTCTAATTGGTTCCACCTGAGAAATTACAGGACAAAGAAACTGAATCCGATCCGCGCGCAAAATTCCGCCCAAAGGCCGTTTTCCACTAGGCTGAATTTATCTTTGTCTCGTGATTTCTCGGGTGGAACTAATTAGAAAAAACAAAGAGAAATTCTGCTCTGCGCAGAAAATTCCACCTAGTGGAAAACGGCCACAATAGAAAACCGGCTTAAAATATTCTACCAATTATTCAGTTGGTCACACGAACCAATTCATTTGAGATGTGCAACTTCATGATTTTATCTTCTCTCAGCTCGGCATCGGTCACGTATTGCCTCTTTATGATTGGTCAATTGCGCAAAAGTGATTGGTGAATTCACACAGGAAGTTGTTCAAATTAACAAGGAAGTTATCAAATTTTCAAATATAAACTCAACAAATTATAGACAAATTTGGTAAACGTTTGTTTATAATATACCCAATTGGCAAATTCAAAACTTTAGATCACTCGCATGCCTAGGTCAGGGTGTCTCAAGTAGTGCGTGAAACAGTAAAAACTCCGTTGCTCTATAGTCAGTTGAACCGTTCAGGAAATTACACGGTTTGGGAAGCATTAATTACTGAAAAATCGCACGTTTGCCGAAATATTAGACAGATTTAGAAAAGACGACGCGACGTCTAAGACGACGTGAGGTTGCGCGAGAGAACTGGCTCGGCGACGCAATTTTCCGTCTCGTAAACCGCCAGGGTCACCAGTATTAACAATCAGCGTCACCATATTGTCAGTGTGCGTCACATCCGGTAAATATGAGTTCACCACACAAAGCACGCGTATTGCGCTGGCGTCACTGAGTAGTAATTTTGTATCGAGTATTGTTTGCCCGATTTCTCTTTATTAACTTTCGCCTTCAAATTAACATTGTTGACATCTCGAAATTCTGAAATCCGTTCATCCAAACTTCCGGCTGGTAGGTAGTGGCCCAACTCTAGTTCGGGGCTTCGCGATCGTGTTGTTTGTGTCTGAACTCTAGTTCGTGTTAACACGTTGGGATGAGTGTTTCGCGTGGCGAATATCTCATTTCATATTCACCGGATGTCACGTACACTGGAAGTGGTGACATCGATTTTTACTGGTGATCCTGGCAGTTTGCGAAACGGAAAATTGCGTCTGCGACGCCGTCGTGTTGTGAATATAATGCGATTTAGATTTGGCAAGACGAGTGCGTAAGCACGAGTGGTATTATAAATATTTCGCCAAACACAAGTCTGATTTTTCATTAATTAATACTTCTGGAATAAGTGTAATTTCGTATACACATTTGGCTAACGACGTAAAGTTGTTTACATCGTTGCTACCCACTTGTTATACAACTCTAATGGCAAACTCAGGGGCGCACATGAGGGAGGGGGGGGGGAGAGTTGTTACAGTTGAATCATCTTTTACGTGCATGTCGTGTTTGCACTTAGCTGAAAATGTTATGAAATAACTATGGCTCCCAACTTAGTCGGAACTGATTAGCTCCCCAAAATAAAACCTGTTCGGCTGCCACTGAACAAAAAGATCGGTCCCAGATCGTCTCTCCCTCCAAGTAATTTGTTGAATGTGCGCCCATGAGCAGACTAACACTGTTTCGCTGATAAGCTAATAAAACAAAGAGGGTATCATACTTTCTTAACGCTAAGAGATATAACAATGTCATACAAGCATTTCGTAAACTTATGGAACAGTTTCTGTGGCAGCTAAATATTAATGCTAATCCATAACTTCTGCTGTTGTTGTTGTTGTTGTTGTTGTTGTTGTTGTTGTTGTTGTTGTTGTTGTTGTTGTTGTTGTTGTTGTTGTTGTTGTTGTTGTTGTTGTTGTTGTTGTTGTTGTTGTTGTTGTTGTTGTTGTCGCCGTCGCCGTCGTCGTTGTCGTCGTTGTTGTTGTTGTTGTGTGATGTTGTTGTTGTTGCTGTTGCTGTTGTTGTTGTGGTTGTTGTTGTTGTTGTTGTTGTTGCTGTTGCTGTTGCTGTTGTGGTTGTGGTTGCTGTTGTGGTTGTGGTTGCTGTTGCTGTTGCTGTTGCTGTTGCTGTTGCTGTTGTTGTTGTTGTTGTTGTTGTTGTTGTTGTTGTTGTTGTTGTTGTTGTTGTTGTTGTTGTTGTTGTTGTTGTTGTTGTTGTTGTTGTTGTTGTTGTTGTTGTTGTTGTTGTTGCTGGTGCTGCTGCTGCAGTTTGTCAGCTAAATTTATGGCTAAGGCAGTCATGGTGCAGGTTGGGTTCCATGAACCAGCAGTAGGCCAAAGAGCACCTCCAGTGAGATATACATTTTCGTTTTCGACACCTCGGAATCGATAATCCATATCAACAGGCGATGACCCATCATCACCTATCCACATGGTGGATGCTGGGTGAACTAAAATGCGACGACGAATTTGGGTATCAGGGGGACGATCTTTTAGCCAGCATTCTTTTTGTGTAGAAGAATGTGGATCCTTCGAATGCCAGTACTCCAACTGACAAGGATCACCAGGGTCAGATAAGGCCAAACTTTCTAGAACTTCAAAAGTGGATTCCTCCATAGTATCCCATAGTTGATGGTCTGTGTCATTGAGCACGACTTGAAGGGTAGGAATGTTATTGTTAATAATTTTATCATTGCCAGAAACTTCACTGTTGAGACGAAACCAATTCTTTTCGTTGGCATGATCAAGCCCACCGATAGTTTTGCAAACAAAAATGATATGGTCGTTTTTTGATGTTAGTTGCTCTATCGAGGGTGCAGGTAACACATCTGGAAATTGGTTCAACGTATTTTGAATATCGCCCAGTGGTGTATCGTCTAGGAATGCTGAAAGTTGGATGTGAAACTGGCGTTTTGAATGCGGGCACAATCCAGGAATATGCATGGCTGCTACCTCAATTCTTCCGGAAAGTTTCTTTTCAAGATCGTGGTACACATTCCGGGGAAGACGCGCGAGAACGGAACTTCTAAAATGAGCGGTGTAACGGGTACCAATGCCATCAAGCTGAGGGAATGAATTGAGCATAAGAGTAGTTGAAGGGAGCACACCCATTGCCAGGATTAACTTGGCATTTCCAAGCTTGACATTTCCTTTGTTGGTCTCAAGAGCCACTGCTTTGCCATTTTCATGCACTATTTTCTTGACCACGCAACTAATTTTTATCTCCAGTGGCGCTTGCTCTTCTTTCTTAGTACACAATTTTTTGTCTAGTAACAAGTTGAGCAAAGGATCAGCAACTGAAGTCTTCTGGATGCGTCCACATCTGCAAATATAATGAGAGGGAACTCAGAGACTTCATTTGCGAGTACGCAATCGTCCTAACCGTTCCACTTACAGAGTTCGTACCAGTAAAAGCCACAGAATAGATAGATAGATAAATTTTTATTAAGTTAATGACAATTGATCATAAAATTCATAATTATTTTACACTATAAATAAGAAATTTACTACATTTTCTAAATTATAAATTTTAAAAAATCATTAATATATATAATTCATAAGGAAAAGACAAAGAAAAATCATAAGCGCGTCGTATCTTTATAAGTGATATCTTTATAAGGGAATCCCTTTGATTTGCATAAACTTCAAAAACTCATTAATAATTCATAAAGCAATTATCCAATCTTGAGTAAGAAATTAGTCACTTGCATACGTCTTTATACCAGCTAAAGAACACTTTAACAAAAGACCATTGTTATGCAAACTATATAAAGATTTTTATATAAAGATTTTTATATAAAGATTTGACTTATTATGCAAACGTTTTTGAAGCCATTTAAAAACTCGCAGGTCGTGTTTTATTAGGTCTAAAGCCACTCGCGCTGCGCGCTCGTGCAGTGGCGCCGTGGGACCCATGTTTTTGGGATGGCCAAGGGCAGTACTTTTCCGACAAACCGGAAAATAGTTTCCGACAGAAACGTCGCGAAAATTTTTTTAACTGAAATTTTTTTGGGCGACCTCCCCCTTTCGGTCAGTGTACCATTTTAGGGGTCAAAAAATTTTTCCGGACATACCAAAATTTTTCGTTACATCTTAAAATTTTTCCGGACATTACCAATTCTCTCCATTTATCCAAAATTTTCCGAATATACCAACGTCGGAAACTTTGACAATTTCCGACAACGTTGACAATT